ATTACTTGTGGATTATTGTGATGTTTTTTCAGCTGTTTGGACTCTCATTCTGACGGCACCCATTCACTGCAGAGCATCCATTGCTGAGACACTGATGCAGTGCTACATTTCTCCAAATCTGATAAAGAAACAAACTCATCCTGATCTCGGAAAGACTAAGGGTGAGGACATTTTCAGAAAGTGTTCATTTTTGGCTGAACTAGTCTTTTAATGTTTGTTAGTAAGGTTTTAGCTATTTTTTTCTGTTTTGGTCATTTTTATTAGATCTAGTTGTTGTTTTTTTGTTTTGTTTTTTACATTTGACAGTGGTTTTGTGTGTGTGTGTGTGTACCTGTGTATGACAGTGGTTTGGTGTTGTTGAGCTGTCGTGCTCTCATGGCCTGTTGTTGTTTTTCTAGTGCTGCCAGCATGTCTCCCAAATCCAACTGCACCGGTGTCCTGCTCTTCTTACCTGCTGCTTTAGTCAGAGCCTCCTACACACACGTCACACTGAGTTCTCCGACCACGACTTGTACCTGTAGCTTCTTCTGCTCCATGCTGATCTCGTTGTACTCCTGTGCCGTGGCGAGAGCAGCGGCGAGCGCCTTCTTCCTCTGACTCTTGGCTCTCTTGGGCACGGAGCTGGTGATGGGGATGGGCGTCTGCACGATGCTTATGGGAGAATTCTCCGGAAGGTTATCCAACTGCACACACACATACACACACACACACACACACACACAGAGGTTTAGAGGGGTTTTTTTTGCGCTCGGATTTCCTCTTTGCTTCTGTCAAACACTCACCAGGTTCTTGGGCAGTTTGGGCTGAACTGGTTCTGGTTTATTCCGCTGAGCAGAGCCACCTGTGGCCAGATCAGGAAACTCGTCCTCATCCTGAACAACAGACAGACAATCAGCACAATAAATACAGGGAATACCGTCCTGCCTCCTGTATGTGTGTGTGTGTGTGTGTGTGTGTGTGTGTGAGTGTACCTGAAAGTACAGTGGCTCAGGTGTGAGGTGTGTGTTAGGTGTCTCTGAGGGAGTCGATCTCTGTGCTCCTGCACGACCTCCAAAGCTCATCTGGAAGTCCTGTGGGTCAGATGATGTAGAATAAGTCAGATTTGTCAAAACAGCATGTCATGTGACGTGTGTGACGCTCGAGTGTTACCTGTGTGTAGTTCCTCTGCTCGGGTGTTCTGCCTCTGTGATACGCTGTGTTCCTGTCTGTCCACGGCTTCTGGACGGTCTGTGAGGCTACATTCCCCCAGCTAACAGCTGCACACGCGCACACACACACACACACACACACACACACACACACAAGTTCAGTTATCATATCTATAGGAACCATAACGATAACTACAACTATAACATTAACAATAGCTAAAGTGATAACTTTAACGATATCTATGAGGCTAACTAGAATGCTCACTAGAATGATAACTACGATGACAAATATAACAATAACTGTAACTATAATAATTATGATGATCACTATAACAACAATAATAACGATAACTGAACAATAACGATAACAGACGTTATCGTTCTGTTTAGTATCAGAGCACTTCAGTTTTGTCGTCTGCTGCTTTAAATGCTGAAGCTCTTTAAAGTCAGATGGATTCTGATTGGCTGTCAATGTTTTTATTATTCATAATGAACAGTTCACTGCTTTGAAAGTGACTCCAGCAATATTATTTCTCTGTGTTGTTATCGTTATAGTCGTGGTGTGGACTCACTATTCTCTTAGAGTTTGAGCGATTATTACAACTTTACAGTTACAGCTTTAGTTCTTGGTGTGTAGTTTTTGATCATGTTGCGGTCACTCATGAGAGTTCAGGTGGAAGTGAAGGATCTTACCTGTCATGACGCCAGCGTCCACAGCCTGCAAACACACACACACACACACACACACACAAATGAGAGAACAGCAATCACAACAACCCTCACCATAATGAAATCAAACAGACATGTGTCTAAGGCCAGACGAGCTGAACGTACCGCGGCAGCCGTGGGCTGATTGGTGGAGGTGTTGGCGGCTCCCTGGTTGTGTTTGGGGCTGCAGTATCCACTGTCGCTGTCGATGTCAGCCTCGCTGGCTCCCTGCTCGCTGGACGACTCCTGCTGAGACGTGCGTCTGCGCTGAGCTTTCTTCCACTGCACACACACACACACACACACACACACACACAAATGAGAGAACAGCAAACACAACAACCCTCACCATAATGAAATCAAACAGACATGTGTCTAAGGCCAGACGAGCTGAACGTACCGCGGCAGCCGTGGGCTGATTGGTGGAGGTGTTGGCGGCTCCCTGGTTGTGTTTGGGGCTGCAGTATCCACTGTCGCTGTCGATGTCAGCCTCGCTGGCTCCCTGCTCGCTGGACGACTCCTGCTGAGACGTGCGTCTGCGCTGAGCTTTCTTCCACTGCTGAGGACTCGCCTGATCCAACGCACATCTGACACTGCCAGACGCCTCGCCGGGGAAATCTGAAAACACACGCGGAGCAGTGTGCTCAGGGGTCTTTAGTTCTGGAGTAAAGGTCAAAGGTCAGCTCAGTACCTGTCTGCTGTGCCGCATCCACCAGCAGCACCGTCTTGGATCTCCCATCAGGCCCGGCGGCACACACCTCCTTCTGTACCGCCACACTCCGCATCACAAGACGCTTGGCTCTCACTGGCTGCTGTGAGTGACGCAAGTGAGCGTTAGTTTACACTAGTGAGCAGTGCGGTCACATCCTGAGTGTGTGGGTTCAGGTGCCGTCTCGTACCTTGTGTGGCACGGGGTTTCGTGAGATGCCTCTTCCTCTCTGCGTCTGGCTCTGTGGCAGCGGCCGCTCGCTGCAGTCAGACACGGGGTTCAGAACGCCGGCCTGCAGGGGCCCCGGGAAGGGCTGGTAGAAGCCCATGACAGGAGGGCAGGGTGTGGGCATGATGGTGTGGTAGTATGTGGGGTAATCGCTGGTGACGGGGGGCTGCGGGGACGACAGGAACGGGTACGCCAGGTATGGCCCGCCGGGGCTCGGGTTGAGCTGCTGCCAGCGGTGATCTCCGTTATACACGGGCATCTGCCGACTGAACCACAGACACAATCTCAGATTATAAAGGGAACACGTGTCTAAAAGCACTTCAGAGGCTTCTGGGTAGGACTATCAAGACAAATGTGTTTGGGGCGGGACTGTGTGCTGGTCTGACCAATGGCAGACAGGAAAAACTGTTTGAAAACTGTCAATTTTTTCCATTTACACACTGTGATTCAGCTGTGACACACACACACACACTCTCTCACACACACACACAAACACACTCTCTCTCACACACACACACGCACGCACGCACACACACTCACTCACACTCACACACTCACTCACACTCACACACTCACTCACACTCACACACTCACTCACACTCACACACTCACTCACACTCACACACTCACTCACACTCACACACTCACTCACACTCACACACTCACTCACACTCACACACTCACTCACACTCACACACTCACTCACACTCACACACTCACTCACACTCACACACTCACTCACACTCACACACTCACTCACACTCACACACTCACTCACACTCACACACTCACTCACACTCACACACTCACTCACACTCACACACTCACTCACACTCACACACTCACTCACACTCACACACTCACTCACACTCACACACTCACTCACACTCACACACTCACTCACACTCACACACTCACTCACACTCACACACTCACTCACACTCACACACTCACTCACACTCACACACTCACTCACACTCACACACTCACTCACACTCACACACTCACTCACACTCACACACTCACTCACACTCACACACTCACTCACACACACACACTCACACTCACATGCATACTCACACTCACAGGCACACGCACACACTCACACACACACTCACACGCACACACACACTCACACACACACCCACACACTCACTCACACTCACACACCACACACTCACACACTCACACAGCGCACACACACACTCACACACCACACACTCACGTACACAACACACACTTATGCACACAACACACACTTATGCACACACACACACATGCACACAGTGTGCACTTCCACCAATTCAAAGTGAACAGGAAGGAAAAGAAGCAGAATCCATTGGGAACAGAGGCAATCACACACAGATATGCATGGTCATTTCATAGACATATCACACTAGAAGACCACAGACAATGAGGACACTTTACATGATTTACATGATTTAATAAAGTTTATTAAGGTTATTAATGCTGTGTGTGTGCAGGTTTATACTTATGAGGTCCAAAATATCATCAGTAAGACCTGCTGCGAACAGACTAGTGAGGCAAACCTCAGTAGTTAAAGATGCTTCGAAATCAGCAAAACCATGTCTGTATTTAAATCTAGTGCTTTGCACAGGTTTCATATCATTCGATATCATTAACCTGATAGAAAAACAATGGAAATCCATTAGATGGGCTTATCATCAGAGTGAAGCAAACGTGTGTGTGTGTGTGGGAGTAAATGAGAGAGTGTGTGTGTGTATGTGTGAGTAAATGAGAGTGTGTGTGAGTGAGTCTGTGCGTGTGTGTGCGCGAGTGTGTGTGTGTGTGTGTGTGAGTAAATGAGAGAGTGTGTGTGTGTGGTGAGTGAGTGTGTAAATGAGAGTGTGAGTGTGTGTGTTTGTACCTGTTGTTCTGATTCTCCTGTACGAAGGGGTAGCAGGTGATCAGGTAGGAGGGGATTTGTGTGGGCTCAGCTACTCCCTCACCGCACAGACTCATGGGTAATAATGACGCTTCAACACCTTTCTTCTGAGGGATAAACGGTTCTACTTCAGCAGAGAGCTTCACATCCTGAAACACACACATATTACACACACACACACACACACACACACACGTGTATTTAAACACACGAGCACATGAAACAGCAGGAACGCTGCCGATAGCCCAAAAAACTACATTCACTACAATTTTAACTTAAAACTTAAAAATGACTAATATTCAAATTTTACAGGAAATTTTAGTCAGGGGAAAATGCTGCTTACCACAAGAGGGCACTTTAAACAAACATAAACCAAATCAAGCAGCACATTAAACTGTTTATTCAAAGCAAAGGAATAATAGGACTGTCTGTTAAAACATTTGAAACAAAAATAATTTTACAAATTGCATAAATACTTATACACACACATGCAGTTTAATGCAAAGAACATACAGTACCTGACTGGTAAGAAAAGTTCATGCAAACTACCTCCAACACTCAACAGAAAAATCGCAAGATTTCTGAAAACACGTTTCAGAACCGTCTAGTATGCTTTCAACTCAAAACCATCTCTTCTAACAAGAAGGAAAATGTACAGCATTTTATGTTTATATTATGTCCATAAACATGATCCACTGCAGCCACTGTATTGTATGGCTAAATTATTAGAATAGCCTATTCACAATTTTCATTTTACAGATTTACTGCATTAAGGGAGGCGTGTGTCTGATATGAAATATGTGCGGGAAACGCGCATTTCCTCCTGCAGAAGTTCCCCTGCATCACGCTCATGTGTCTGTGGCTGAATTCAGCATCGCATACTACTCATAAAATATCAGCAAACAGAGTGTGCAAGTACATAGTTGTGAATTTCGGGCCACTCGAGAGCGAGACGGGACTTACAGCACCCCACCTGAAGCACCTGTGAGCTCCTAAACGTTTAGCAGGTTCAAAACAGAAAAACATCACACAGGTGAGTAATGACGTCGGAAGGGACATGTTCGTCCAGTAAGGCTTCAGCGGGACGTCACTCAAACAGGAACCCAGAACCAATGTGAGCATGTGACTGCTGCTCAGGTGATGTCATCACATTCCACACATTCCTGAACATCTCAGGTGAAACAAACAAACAAACGAGATCGCGATCATTCTCATAGTTATCTCGTGAAGCAGGAAGAGCTAATGATTAACCACGTCACGCTGAACACGCGTGTGAGCGACACTTCCTCATCTCGACAATCACGTGTGAACCTCTCTCTATTGGGTTCATTCTGGGGTCACGATTCCAGCAGATTTTTCTGAAAAGTATGGCTTTATGTGCACCAACAGGTTTAAAATATATGTTATAAACACGCTATTATTTTTTTTACGAAATAAAAACGGAAGACCAGTAGCAGGACAGACTAAAATCACTAAATTATAGATAATATAAGGGAGGAAAAGCACAAAATAAAGAACGTTTTTTCCATTTTAATTTCTCTGGACTTTTTTTTAATGGTTAAATTACATTTACAAAATGATTAAACTTATACAATCAATTTATTCAAAGTTGACTTTTATGTCATTTACAAAAATGCATAAAATGCATAAAAACTTTTTTTTTCATAAAAACAAAATTTATTAAAATTAATTTTTACAATAGCCTATGAAATATTGTCTCCCCCTTCCTTCAGAAATTCGTTGTTTTGTATTTTTCTGGTTATCAAATGAAGGCATAAAACATTATTTTAATTAATCTTTTAACAAAATAAAAATTAAACAAACTTAAACTTTTGGTAAACAAAGGGGATTTACGATTAACATTAAAACATGAAAGAAATATTGTTTAATTATTCCTTAAAAAATTAAGTTTTAATAATTTTAGTAGTAGTAGTAGTAGTATTACGTACATTCTACTGATCAACAGTAATATATTTCAGGCACAATAATTTCTTCAAGTTAAACCGAACTTTTATTTTGACGTGCTGCCGTGAATAAATCTCTGTGTGCGTATGAGATGACGATAGTTTCTCTCAAATGAAACGGTCAAATGCTCATGAAGTGACTCAGTTGAGCAGTTCTAGAGATTGTTTATGTGTTCATATCACAGGGCCCTATACATGTTAACAGTATAATGTATGCATGCATGTCTCTGTGTACATTTCATGTGCTCCATCTGGACATTCACTGTAAACTGTCTGCAAAACGTGAAATATAAACATTCATTTTAAATATGCACATTCATTTCCATTGAGAATGAATGTAAGAGAGACTGTTCCTGATCACACATGAATGAATCAATATGATAATAATGTAATGGAAAAGATATAGAAGTATATTAATAATAATGGCAACATCCTGATTCCCTGATGACACACACACAATCATTCAGAAACAAAGGCACATCTGATGCTGAGATCCAGAGCGCTGACCGTGTGTGTGTGTGTGTGTGTGTGTGAATGGAGTGTGTGTTATAGCACACAGCAGTATTTGTTCATCTGTAGGTGGTGGGCGGAGCTCTGTACACTCTTCCGATTGTGACATCACAAACAGTTCTGCTCTCTCGTCCAATCAGATCACAGACAGTAACATCAGTCCATGCAGATAATCATTTCTTTATAATCGTCTCCAAATGCAAACTCTCCTATTGGCCAGATTTCAACCGAGCACTATGACAATACAGCATTAATACACTACAAACTAGGGCTGCACGATTATGACAAAAATCTTAATTGTCGATTATTCCCTTGAAATTGTAATTGCGATTATTAATTATGATTATCACAATTTACATTGCATGATGTTTTTATACCATTGTTTGAAGCAACAGCATGCGATATATTCATATGAAAATAAACAAGCTGAAAACACTCACTTTTATTGCTTTTCACTAGTATTAAGCCTCAAATGTCAACTATACATTGGATTGGTTTCTTCTTTAAATAAAAAAAAAAAGTAAAAGTATGCATGGTTTTATAATGTTATACTAAAACTGAAATGAATGCAATGGAGAAACCCTAAAAATAACCTGTAGAAAATAATAAAAACTAGTGCTGTCAAATGATTAATCGCGATTTCATTTATTTAGAAAGTTATCTACCTTCTAAATAACACCTATGCTCACACTAATGAGGGTGTCAATCTTGCTGTCATAGATATAAATTACATATTTGAAAAATCAGCAAAACAATCCAAATTGAAAACAAAAAATGGAAAAAATCAAATACCCAAAAATGACAAAAATTGGTTTGATCAAGACTGCCAAACTATTCGCAAAAAACTGAGAACATTATCAAATCAGAAACACAAGGATCCAAATAATGCAGAGATCCGCCTTCTTTACAGTGAGACACTAAAACAATACAAACATACACTCAGAACCAAAAAAGCACAATACACCCAAAAACAACTGACAATCATTGAGAAGTCAGTGAACACACACACACACACACACACACACACACACTCACACTCACAGTCACACACACACACACACACACTCTCTCTCTCACACATGTCAGCCCTTAACTGGTCCTTCGTGGACAAATTTGGGTACGAAGGTCTTTCTTAAATAAATAAATGTCATATCAACATCTTCGATAAAATAAAAACTATCAATTTATGCAATGTTTTGTGATTTTTGGTGGTTTTTTTTATTTATTTACCTTGAATTTACCTTTAATGTAAAAAATAGGCTGTAGGACTCAATGGCTGCATATATGCTGAAATCTATATTTATTGATTTTACTTGACACATTTTTTTAAATGCTCTGAATTATATTTCCCATTCGTTTCCTATGGGTGCCCAATTTTGGACAAATTAAGGAGTTTTTTTTTTCAACCACTTAACTTTGTTGAATTGAATCCATTTGTGTGTGTGTGTGTGAGAGAGAGTGTGTGTGAGAATGCGTGTGTGTGTGTGTGTGTGTGTGTGTGTGTGTACTGGTTTATATATCCTGGGGGGGACTTAAACCT